GAAGGCACACCGTACTACGAACTCCTACTGAAAATGATCGAAGAANATCGGAAAAGACATTCGCCCAACGTACACATTCAACAAATCGACCAATGAGAAGCTCAAGAAGCATATTCACTGTGCAAAAATGCTTATTAAGTATGAAAAAGAAGATTTTGAGCTGAAAATTTGGATTTTGAGGGGTTTTTAGGGCGAAAATCGGCCTAAAAACCACTTTTTTCGATTTATTTGCTCCCGATTTTTCTCCCAGCCATCCACTTAAAAACCCGAGAAAAAAGTTGTCAAAACAAATATTTGACCGCCCATTATCTTTTTTTTTCCTTATTTTTTATTTCAGAGCCTGCCAAACCGAGGCCGAAAACGACAAAAAGAAGGCGGACGCGGCGGCCGAAGCGGCCAGAATCCAGGCGGCGCTTCGCAAGACGGACGGTCCAGAAGGCGATGAGGAGGCCAAGAAATCCGAGTCGAAAGCCTAAATTATTGATTTTCATCCATTTTTGTACTATAATTTCACTTTTTTTTCCCAACAAAAATCCGATCTTTTCTGTCTTTTTTCACTCTAAAATCACTGATAATGCAAGCTCGCCCCACTGAGAATGTGTCTGAAAAATTTGCGCGAAATTCAAAATTTCTTGTATTTTTTTTTCGATTTTTCACTCTTGAAATGTACATTTTTCTATATTTCTCTGTCCTGTTTCTCAATTCGAAGAATTCCTCCCATTTTTTTGAGACCCCGGAAATTCCGGGAAAAAAAAACTCCTGACCGCATCCAAATGTGCTAAAAAACCATGCGGCAAAACCGTGCCAGGGTTGCAATTTAGGCTCCGCCCCGACTCCGCCCACTTTTCTCCGGAGTTTTTTTTCCCCGGATTTTCCGGGGTCTCATTTTTGTCCCGAAATCACAGCAAATGTGCTCCATTGATACCTGAAAATTGGCGCTAAATTCAAATTTTTCTTGTTTTTTTTCGAGTTTTGAGCTCTTGAAATGTACTTGTTCTGCTTTTTTCTTCAATTTTTCGAAATAATTTAAGCTCCGCCCATTTTCAGCATCCCAAAAATGCCAAAAACTGTCAAACTCTCATCCCGTCCCGCGTTCGGCCGACGAATTCCAGATGCTACGTCATCAGACACTCCGCGTGTCTGCGTCTCCACCTATCTCCTTGATCCCTCGTCGGACACCCGGTCGGGCTCTTTGTGCATCCTAAAAGCTGAAAAAAACCAGGACCTGGTGCTGGAAAACGAAATCAGCACGTCGGCAGGCGTTTTTCGCTTCGACTTTCGGAATCCGTCGACCGTGGTGGCCGCGTTGACCAACGGATCGCTTGTCGTGCAAAAAATCGAGGGTTAGTCGGCGAAAAAGCGGGAAAATTGACCCAAAATCGCCCGAAAAAATGAGAAATTCGAAAATGTGCAACATGTCGTGAGATCCGGCGCATTGACACCATGACGCAAAAATGCACAATTGTTGAAAAACGGGCTAGAAAAAGCGATTTTCGGTCAGTAAAAGGGGTTTTGAGCTAAGAAACGAACGAAAAAAAGGAAAAAAAAAATCAAAAAATTAGATTTTACAGAGCCAACATCATCGGAAACGACGCCAGTCTCGTCGGATATGCTTCTAGATTTGGGTCTTTCCGATTCGTCGCTAACAATCACGACAGATAATAAAGTGGGTGTGGCCTAGCTTTAATTTTGTTTTTAGACGATTTTTCTAACCGAAAATCGCTTTTTCTGGCCCAATTTCGAAAAATTGTGCATTTTCGCGTCGTGGTGTCAATGCACCATATCTTACGACAAATGCAGATTTTCGAAAATTTAATTTTTTCGGGAGTCCCACGGAAATGAACTTTTCGGAAATGAACTCAGTCGAAAATGAACTCGCCACAGAAATGAACTCGGCGGAAATGAACTTGCCGAAAATGAACTCGCCAAAGATGAACTCGCCCGAATATGAACTCGCCAAAAACGAACTTGCCCGAAAATGAACTCGCCCAATATGAACTCGCCCGAAAATGAACTCGTTCGTGGTGGGGAAAAATCTTCGTTTTCGTTCGTTTTTCAAACTTTTTCTTCATTATTTGTCTATACATAAATGACTTAAATAAAAAAATCGAATATTTTTCAGCCTACGGGCGTAATGCTTTCAATTATGGCGGCCACGAATGAGTTCATTTTCGGGCGAGTTCATATTCGGGCGAGTTCATATTGGGCGAGTTCATTTTCGGGCAAGTTCATTTTTCGCTAGTTCATTTTTGGCGAGTTCATTTTCGGCAAATTCATTTCCGCCGAGTTCATTTCTGTGGCGAGTTCATTTTCGGGCGAGTTCATTTTCGGCGAGTTCATTTCCGTGGGACTCCCATTTTTTCGGGTCAACAATGTTGAATTTTCGGTCAATTTTCTCGATTTTTCACTGTTTTCAGGGCCACGCCTACTTGGTAGACCTGAATACGTCGCTGATCGTTGCCACGTGGCTTGCCCATTCGCTACCGTATGTCCCGGGCGAGGGATGTGAAGTTTGGTCGTGTTCGGTGACGCCAGATGCACAAACTGTAGTCACCGGCGGAGAAGATGGGTCGATGAAGTTAGTCTGGTGAATCCAATTTTAGATGGTGGCCGAGTTTTGGGTTTATAGGACACTAATGAAAAAATTCAAAAATTTGCGATTTTTCAGTCAACAATTATTTAAAATGTGAATTTCAGTTATTCTAAGCCAAAACTGGTAGTTTTCAAACGAAATTTCGCTGAAAAATGGCAGATTTCGAGTGGTGGCCGAGTTCTTGGAGATTTCTAGGCCATCAGAAAAATCATCAAAAAATTAGAGAAAAACGACGAATTTTGAGCTATTTTACCCTGAAAAACGGTTTATTTTAGTCAAAAATTTATGGGAATTGAAAAAAAAAACTCGAAAATAACAACATTTCGGTGGTGGCCGAGTTTTGGGATTTCTAGGCCACCAAATTTTTTTGTGACTTTTCGGTCGAGAATCACTTTCTAAGCAAAAATATGTCATTATTAGACGGAAAATCGCTTGAAAATTGCATATTTTCGTTGGTGGCCGAGTTTTGGGTTTCTAGACCGCCACATTTTTTTCGAATTTATGCGATTTTAAGACCAAAAATTTTATTTTTTTTCTAAGCCAAAATCAGTGGTTTTTAGACGAAAAATCGTTGATGGCCGAGTTTTTGGATTTCTAGGCCATCAATTTTTTTTTCGAAATTTTCCAATTTTCGGCCGAAAAACACGAATTTCAGCCATTTTCAGTCAAAATGTGTCGTTTTTAAACAGAAAATAGCTTGAAAACACCAAAAATTTCAATTTTTCAGGTTATGGGACGCGCGAAGCAAAACCCAAATCTCCCAATCGAAAATCTTCGGCGCCGGCGTCGTTTTTGTGGATTTTCCCGCCGAAAATCGCGCGGAAAATCAAATCTACACCGGATCCTACGACGAGAATTTGCGCGTTTTCGATCGTCGAAACCTGAAAACCGTGTTAAAAGAGAAGAAGGCAAGTGCGCTCCTTTGAGAATTTTTGAGTTTTCCGGACGCTATCATTGCCACGTGGCGCTTCTAGAATGTGCCACGTGGCTGCTGATTCAACGATTATCCAATAGAAATTAGGTCACTGACAGGTGCGAAATGGCTTTATCTTACCGTCCATCGCGTTTACAGGGCCTCACATGGAAGAGAAAAAATTAAGAATTTGGATTTCTAGGCCACCCAACTTTTTTTCTAGGTCAAGTTATTTGCAGCTCCCCGGCGGCGTTTGGAACATTGAACAAGACGACAAGGAGCAGCAGCTGTGTGTGTCTTGTATGTACGGTGGCTACAGTATTCTGAATTCAGAATCGCTCGACGTTGTCTACGAGAATCGAGACGTCGGAAAGAATTTGTTGTATGGAGCGACGAGGATTTCCCGAAATTCGACGATTTTCTGTACTTTTAACGATTATTTAGTGGTTCTGGACGAGTTTTGATTATTGATTTTTTGTTAATTTTTTTGATTTTTTTTCTTTTTTGATTTTTTTTCAAAAAATTTCTGCAAATTCCGTTGAAAATTCGTTTCCTTGGCGAGACCCAATCGACAAGTTTGTGGTGTGCGCCTTTAATTTTGCAGGGGTTACTGTAATTTTTCAAAATTTTCTCGATTGTGCATTTTTTTTGCGATTTTTAACCCCCAAATTCGCTGTTTGGGGTCAAAAAAAAGACGATTTTTTCTTTGAAAATTTCTGCTAATACAGACAAAAACGCGGAATTTTTGGGTGCGAAAAAAAGGGGAAATTTCTGGAAAGCTCTCAAAAATATCACAAGAAAAGACACAAAGACTAGGAAAAAATGCAAAAAAAATTATACAAAAAATCACATGGATTTTCAGCTAAAACGCTGAAATTGGGGGTCAAAATAATACAAAAAAAACGCGGGAAGTTCAAATTTTTCACAGCTAGAACGCTGAAAATTGTGATATTTGGGTCAAAATAATACAAAAACAATTGAAATTTTCGGAAAAAATGTAAAAAATCAATAAATTATCCGGAAAACGTTTTGGCGATTTCCACCAGTGCACTATAGGTTCCGGTGGTGAACCCGACGATCGCAAAGCCTAAAAGTAGGATATTCTTGGCCCACAAACCACTTGTCAGCTCGTTTTTTGCATAGGATGTCTGAAAATTGGAAATTTTAGAGTTTTTGCCACAAAAATTAGGCTCCGCCCATTTTTTTCAGGGTCAAATTTGACTTTAAATAACATTTTTCAGCGATTTCCTACCGAAAAATCGCAAATTTCGACAAAAAAAAATCGATGGCCTAGAAACCCAAAACTCGGCCACCACCTTAATTTCGCTATTTTTGGAATTTTAGGCTATTTTTCGTCTGAAAACGATCGATTCTGGCTGAAAATTACTAATATTAATGTTTTTGACCGAAAATTCGGAAAACTTCGACAAAAAAATCGATGGCCTAGAAATCCAAAAACTCGGCCACCACCAAAAATAGCTATTTTTAAGCGATTTTTTCGGCTGAAAACCACTGATCTTAGTTTAAAACGCTCGAATTTCACTTTCATTGTGATTTTCGACCAAAAAATCGCAAAATTTCGAAAAAAAAATCGATGGCCTAGAAATCGCAAAACTCGGCCACCACTGAACACTTTCTATTTTCAAGCGATTTTATGCTTATTTTGGCTTTTTTGAGCATTTTTGCTCCAAAATTGCTGGTGGCCTAGAAAACCAAAACTCGGCCATGCCGATTTCTTACCAGTAGCTCAATAATCGGTGGGAATAAAAGAGCCATGGATGCTCCGGAGAATGCACCAATCAGCGAGATGAACAGGGCCAAGTGGGGAATCAATTCGGCGATTGCACCTGGAAAAATTGAAGTGGTGGCCTAGAAATTTCGAAATTTGGAAAACTCGGCCGCGTTCAAATTTTGCTTAAAACTTATCAAAAATGATCAAAAATGGTTGGGAATCGATTTTTTGGCATTTCTAGGCCATGGCCTAGGTTTCCAAAAACTCGGCCAGCATGTATTTTAGGCGGTTTTCAACCGTTTTTGGGTCAAAAAACGTCATTTTTTCGGATTTTTTTCGTGGCCTAGCTTCTCAAAACTTCGGCCAGCAACTTACAGGTCAACAAAACGCCGGTATACCGCGCGAAGTAGATGTAAAACGTCTGCTTATCAGCTGAAATTTTCCGGGTAATCCATTTTTCGATGCGCTCCATTGGAACGTAGAATTGCAGAGGGTAGGAGATCATAATGCACGCCACGAACATCAATTTTATCGTTTGGTAGAATCTGGAATAGAATTTTGGGGGATTTTGAAAAAAAAATTTTTGGGAAAAAAAAAATTTTTTTGAAAATTTTCAAAAAAAATGTGAAAAATTTTTTAGGTCGTTTTGGTCATAATTTTTTGAATAACAAGATTTTTTTTCGAAAAAATTTTTTTTCAATTTTTTGAATTTTTCAAAAAAATTTTTTTTTTCAAATTTTCAAATTTCCCGGTCCCTCAAATTTTCTATTTCCCTCAAATTGTATGTTTATTCCATTCATCTTTTCCTCTTCCCAATCATTGTTCATAGTTCAAACAGCCAAAAGTTTATCTCTCTGCTTCTCTGCGTCTCTTATCTCTCTCTAAAATGTTTCTCTGCGTCTCTCACTTTCTCTCTATCTCTAACTTACGGTGTCATTGGCAAATTGAGTGTCGCAGTGTCTTTGACATCATTTCCAAGTGATAGGTATCTGAAAAAAATTCGAAAATTCGAAAAAAAAAATTAGGCCCCGCCCCTTTTTTCAAGCTGAAAATTGCTTAATTATTGACTGAAAATGGCTGAAATTTCGATAAATTTTGGCCTAGAATCAAATTCTCCGTGATTTTTGACCCGAAAATCGCGAAATTTCCAAGTTTTTTGTTGGTGGCCTAGAAATCCCAAAATTCGGCCACCGCCAAAAATTTGCCATTTTTTAGCAAATTTTCGTTTCAAATCGACCGATTTTAAGTTAAAACGGCTGAAATTTACGTTCTCCGTAATTTTTGGCCCAAAAATCGCAAAGAATTCAAAAAAACATTTGGTGGCCTAGAAACCCAAAACTCGGCCACCACCAGAAATACTGAATTTTCATGTTATTTTCCGTTTGAAAAACGACAAAATTTGACTGAAAACGTCCCAGATTCACTTTTCCCACGATTTCGGACCGAAAAAACGCGAAATCTCGAAGTTTTCTATTGGTGGCCTAGAAATCCAAAACTCGGCCACCATCTAAAATTGTGCTTTTCCATTGATTTTTCACCTAAAAACCTTAGGTTTTGCATGGAAATGAATGAAATTCACTTTCTTTCTGATTTTCGACTAAAAATCGCAAAATTTCAAGAAAAAGGTTTAGTGGCCTAGAAATCCAAAAACTCGGCCATCACTCAAAATTTGCCATTTTTCAGCGATTTTTCGTCTGAAAACGACCGATTTCAGCTTGGAATGACTGAAATTCACATTTTAAATAATTGTTGACTGAAAAATCGCGAAATTTCGAATTTTTTCATTAGTGGCCTATAAACCCAAAACTCGGCCACCATCTAAAATTGTGATTTTCCAGCGATTTTTCACCTAAAAACCATAGATTTTGCCTGGAAATGAATAAATTCACATCTTAAATAATTTTCGACCGAAAAATCGGCGAAATTTCGAAGGTTTTCACTGGTGGCCTAGAAACCCAAAACTCGGCCACCGCTGAAAATGCGTTATTTTCAAGCGAAAACGCCCGATTTTAGCTCAAAATTCACGAATTTTCAATTTTTCCCCCTCTGCTGGCCTAGAAATCCCAGAACTCGGCCACGGCCACCGCCTACAGTACCCATAGAATCCGGTGACACTGAAAATGGCCAGAACAACGAGGCACGACGAATTGAGCACACCATTCCAGGCGATGAAACTATGCGGCGACTGCATTCGATTCTCGATTGGCATGATCTGCAGGTTACTGTAGGATTACTGTAGTCTCAATGGAGCGCACTTACCACAGCAACACCTTCAAACGCGAACATTACGGTACCGAAGAATAGCGGGAGATCCGTGGCTTTTCCGAACCATGGAAGTGAATCGATTGGGCGGAGATCTGGAAATTTGAATTTTGAAAATTTGAATTCTCAGGGTCAGAATGTGCGCCCCATTGATAAATCCTTGAAAATCACTTAAAACGGCTCATGTTAGGTGGAATTTGGCGGCAAAAAAGATGATAGGGTTGTAAATGTGCTCTATTGAGAAAAATCCCGAAATTTCAAATTTTGGGTCAGGAAATGCGCTCTATTGTCAATTCAAAACAATCGCGCGGATGAACGCACACACAAAGAAGTAAACAACCTGTCGAGACGCTCCGCCCCTTTTTGAGGCGCGGTTTTGTGGGCGTGCAAAGGCGCCGAACAGTTTTTTCATGGTTTTTTATTCAAGCCATTTTTTGGTAATTTTTCACCAAATTTCGTTGGAATTTGAAGACAATTTGGCTATTTTGTGAAGGAATATATACTGTTGATTGAAT